CGTTTTGTTGAAGTTGGTCTGGTTTGATTTGCGTATTAATGGTGTGTTACTTTGACGAGCGATTCTTCGAGGCAAGCTTTCAGGCGATTTTTCGATGTGTTAGTGTGTGGCGATTGTTTTGTAGCGATTAAAGTTCCGAACGGATTGTCGGTTCGCAGTTGAGCGCATTGGAACGCGTGCCACCGAATGATAGCAGTTATTGGTTGACTTTTTATTTGGGTTTGGAACTTATAGAAGTGAATGCTGAGGGTGCGATAAGCACCTTTTTGTTGTTGAAAACCGCTTGTTGAATTAAGCATTTACGGGGTGTTCATAGCGTTTTGCTTGCTATTGCAAAATTCAACGAAAAACTTCAAATTAGTGTTGCGTTATGAAATTTCACAATTTCCTATTCAAGTTCAGCGTTGAGTGATAATTGTTTTGTTGATAACATTAGGTAATGATGCATTGTTGGCTGCTGTTTGTCTTGTTCGGTGCGGTGGATGAAGTGATGATTGATGATTTTGATTTGAAGTTTGGAATCGAGTTTGCTTTCAGCTTTCAAATATTGGATAATGGCAACGAAACCGTTGAATCCTTTAGTGCAGTGGGCACAACGTGAGCAGTTGCTGTTTCTAACGATCGAGGTCGATAAAGTGGAAGCACTCGACATCACCGCTAAAAACCTGCATGTTAAGTGAGTTTTATTGTTAGCGCCGTATCGACTATGACTTCAGTTTGCATCCGTTAAACCAAAGATGGTACCAGAGGTGACATGATAATCTAGCAGCGTTTAAGGGGCAAATATGCTGGCGCGGAGACACAGTATGAAGCAACGATTGAGTTCTACGCTGATATCAAGACGGATTACCGCAAAAGTGCGAGTGGTCGGAATTTGGAACTGGTTATTAATAAAGAGGCTGCTGGTTGGTGGCCTCGACTGCTGAAGGGTACCGGAAAGGTTCGTGCTGCGATAATGTTTGTTGGAATTATTTGGGTAGTAATTGATTATAAATCATTTTGAGTGACATTTCAGGTTGCTTGGGTAAAAGTGGATTTCAATAAGTGGAAAGACGAAGATGATGAAGAGGAGGATTTGGACGCCGGTGGACCGGGAGGGTTCGATTTTAATAAGTATATGGCGAATATGGGCGGAGATCAGGGGGGTATGGCTGGTGGAGCGCCAAATTTGGACGATTTCGATGATGAAGACGAAGATACTGAAGGTATCTGTTCCTTTTCCAGAAAATTTTCCAACTGAGTTAAACTCGAATTTCCTATTCCATCGAATTTTCTGAAATTCGATAGAAGAATCATTTCCTCGCACCTTTCAGATATGCCAGATCTCGAGGATACTGAGGACGAGAAGAAAGTGGAAGACGAGAAGAAAGCGGAAAAAAGCGCGGAAGTTGGTAAGGATAAGGAGAATGCAGAGAATGGACATGCGGAACCTAAGGCCGGAACTGCGAGTGGGGATGGTGCCCAGGAGGTGCCTCAAGAGGCTGCATAAAGGAGAGTGGAAGGGCGGAATATAGAGAGTAAATAATAATCATTATTATAATAATTGTTATGTTGTTGTTGTTATGTAATGTCATGTTATGTTGTTCTGCGTTTCGCTTGATTCATTCGGTATAAAAGCACTTCATTGAACGCTAGCTCGCTTGATGTCGATGGTGATGCTTTATCTGAACCTTTGTGTTCCAACTTCCTTATAGCATCCTATTACTACATATTATTGTTGTTATCGTTATCAGTATTATGTTTTAATGGCATTTCAATGAACGAATCAAATTGGATTGAGTTATCGTTACCGTTGCATTATCCGATAGCTAAATTGATCTGAGTTTTGAGCTGAATTCAATTTTGAGTTCGTTGCGAAGGATCTGTTTTGGTTTGGACACTCATTGCTGATGAATTGAAAATTGTAGTTGGTTATAACGATGCTTTGTCTCAACAGTTACTTTGTTTTTTTGCTTATCTGCACCCATTTATATGTAAGTTTGTTATATTATCCAGTGTTCTAGATTTCGTTATCTGAATTGTTATCATGTCAATCTCAAACGTGTTCTCATTATCATTTTCACCGGTTGTTTGATGGAAAGGGAAATTGTTCTCATTTATTGTTGTTATCAGTAAGTGGGATTGGAGTAGAATAAAATTTGTTGACTGATCGGAAGATTCTGTTGAGTTGAGTGGATGGAAATTCGATTGACTTCTTTGACTGTTGGTTCGTTTTACGATGCGTTCGGTTTTGAGATTCAGTTTTTGTTATGAAATGATTATTTTCGTGATGTGTTTTGGTA